AGCCTTTCTACTGCATCCCCTTTTAAAAATCCAGTACACCAAATAGTCTATCTCCTTCTTCCATCTTTCTCACTCCACCCATCATGGCAACCACACTGAGACAGAGGAGACTGTCAGCCTCTGATCACATCCACGGTAACATTAAAGCTTTTGTCTTTGTAGGTTGTTTCTGTGGAAAACTGTCCAGTTCTGCCAAAGTACCTGGGGGCTTATTTAGGACAGTATCTGCTGGTTTCAGCTTGAGGAGAGGTTGAAGGTGATTAGAAGGCCCTTCTGGTATGACTGTTGCATCCACACCTGAATCTATTTTAAAATTAAGTCTTGCCTGAGAGATTCAGTGTCCCCTCCAGGCTGGCTTTGGGTCATTACCTGTGACTGAGCCCAGAAAAAAGGTCTCTTGACTCTCCATGCTCACTTCCTGTACTGCCTGTGTGCAGCTGGGTGATGGGGTATGCAGACCCCACACTGGACAGCAGGGGGTTAATGAGCTAGTGTGGGCTCAGGTGGTGCTGCCCCATCGCAGGTGTGGAAATGGCAGGTTTGAAGAGGGAGAGCCGCAGCTCAGTTGATGGCAGACCAGGGAGGAGAGCAGACCTTCAGTCCTCAGTTGCTGGAGAGAGGGCAGACTGGAGGCAGAGCTCCCCAGCTGAGTGCTGCCCAACGGCCCCTTCCTGAGGGGGGGGAGGGAGGGCCAGATGCTGACTCACCTTGAGAGGGACCCACTGCCTTCTATTACCTGCAAATGCAGGTTAGGGCCTTAGACCGATGAGTGTCCTCTGAAGGAAGAGAGCCTTGACCCAGCTTTGGGATGAACAGCTGTGTTAATTCCCCTCGTTTTTGTTCATTAACTACCCAGAAGAGGAGAGACTTTAAAGTGACCTGGCCAAAGGTCCAAGTCGCGGGAAGAGGCAGATGATAACAGCACCGGAATGACCATCAGCAGAAAGTACATGATGCGGAGAGAGTTGCTATGCCACGCCCAGCCACAAGAAGGTGCTAGTTCATGGGCAGACAGTGGCAAAATGTCCAGTTTTTGTGCACTTACAGGATTTGGCTCCTTTGGCTGGACAATCACCTCTTGGATTGTGACTTTTCCCACATCATATGCAGCAATTGTAATAAATCCTCAAAAGCAATGTGCGGTAAGCCTCAGACATTGCCTTTGAGGATTTATTACAATTGCTTTTTACAGCTGTGCTAATCTCCTGTTGTCACTCTAAGTCATTTCCTCTAGTCTCTTTCTGGGAGCCTCTGGTCTCTATTTTGATTTTTAATCCTCTCCGATTGTCTTGTCATTTCTGTTGCTGTGTGAAGGGTTACATAGAATCATAGGACTGGAAGGGACCTCGAGAGGTCGTCCAGTCCCCTGCACTCATGGCAGGACTAAGTATTATCTAGACTAGTATTATCTAGAAATCTCTCTTCATTTGCAGTTTCTCTGATAGTCTGTTGCTAAAATGCCCGGCACTACTGTCTCTAGTCTGCTCTTCCTTTTCATCCTCAAAATCATAGTCTTCTGCCATGTCATATAAGCCTCCTATAAAAGATTCCACAGCCTCCCCAGTGTTTGGACATGCTGGCAGAAAAACACTCGCTCATAAACCACATTAGGCTGAGGCATAAAATGCTCATCAAACTTAGCCAGCCCCCCTGAGTAATTGTTCTTGTGGCTCTCCTCTCCAAAGGCCAAGGATTGAAAGATACATTCAGCTTCCCTGGCCATGGTACAGATGAGAGAACTAGCTTTCCCCTCCCCCGTCTCATTGTGGAGTTTAGTTGCAATGCAAAAACGTGTAAAATGCTCCGTCCAGTTGGGCCAGTCGGACGGTCTGTTGAAGCTGAAGCTCTCTGGTGCATGGACCTTTAGCATTTTGACAAAATTCTGCAGTTTCTGTTGTTTATCTTCTGACACCATGTTGTGTTAGTCACACAGACAGAGGCAAGATACATGCTAGTCACAACAGTCTTATTGTAAAAAAAAGAGTGTAGACTGCCTCCGTCACTCAGTAAAGATGGGGTGCAGTATGCTTCATACAGCACCACGTAGTGACTAAACATTTCCCCAGACCCGAAGAAGAGCTCTGAGATCCTCCAAAGCTAGTGCCTTCCATCCACGGAAGTTGGTCCAATAAAAGATATCACCCCCTCACTTTGTGTCTGTCACACATTAAAATGCAGTTTAAACTTCCCCTCCAAGCCTGAAAGCACAGAAGCAGTAGAAAGAACAAATAAAACAAAGAGCAGGCGAAGGGGTAGAAGTTGTGTCCCCAGGGTGATGGAGCTGCTGCTGTCGGAATCCGGGCACCAAGCCCAGACTCTGCTGATAAATCAACATAATGACATGGACGAGGTTCTGTGGGGGGCAGTTTCATCTTGCATGAGGACTCATCTGCAAGAGGGATGAGTCCCCCGTATGGTTCCTCCCGGGCACCGGGGAGAAAAGGAGGCAGATGGCGCACTGGGAACACCAGGTCTCTCCCTGTTCTGTACCCAATGTGCATTCTCTTGGACGACCTCTCCCCCCTCCCAGAGACCCAAGAGCAGCAAGGGTCAGTGACACAGCCCCCCAAAACCATCCAGGAAACAACTCAGGAAGACCCTGCAGGAGACACTGGGAGCAGGAGGCACAGAGCAGAACCTTTGGGGGGGATACAGTGAGACACCCCAACAGTCCTGCGAAGCTTGCCTGGCCTGAGCACTCCCACAGCCCTCCCAGAGCTCACATCGCCCCAGAGGGGCAAGGAAGAGGTGGACCATGGAGGGGCAGGAGTTTAGGGCAGTAACTACAGGTGGTCCTCCTTGGCTGAAGAAGAAAATTCTCATTTTAGGTGAGAAATACTAATGAGCGACACTGTTTTTCCAAGTCATTGACCAATGGCTGTTTGGCAGAAGTATTAGAAATGTGTTTCTTTTTTATTTTAGGAAGGGCTGAGGGGGGAGCAAATTTACTTAGGGAGCCCTGGTTCTCAGCACTCTGAGATGACAAGAAGTGCTTGAGCACAGATACAGTAAGTCTCTGTTCGTGAGCGGGATTGGCTTCATTTCGTTCACTGTGAAGCAGCTGAAAGGCTCTTTGTATGATCCAAAGCTAAGTTTTAACAACGTTTTCCCAAGATACAGTGAGCAGCAGCGTACGAAGTATAAACGGTTTGCTTTAAAGGGAGCAGAACATTGTGATGCTGACACGATGCCGACTAAAATGCCAACATCACACTTTGGGAGGTTTCTTTTCATGTACATAGAAAGGTCTGAGAAGTGCTGTCGTGTCTTGTGTCCAGTCACCTGGGAAGGTCCACTGCTTCGTCCTGTGTTTCTGTGATGCCTGGAAACATTTAAGTTTTAAAAGGAAATGTTGTGGGGCCAGATCCTGAATTCAGTTACACTGGTGTAACGCTGGAGTAACTCCACATTGAAGTTAATGGAGTTACCCCATCTATAGCAGCATGATTGACATTCTGACTAACCACATGACCCTTTTGCTTTGCTGAAGAGGTTGTCGGAGGAAGGCACTTTTGAACTGTATACCTCTCAGGAGACAGGTAGTCTGCAACACCAGTAAAAGCAAACTTTCCTGCAAAGGCAGTCGAGAAGGTACCTGTGGGGTAAAACAGCACTCTCCCCACCTACTGTAACATGATGTGGGACTATACTTGCCTTGTCTTGTTTGCCTGCAATAATTGGAAGCTGTATGCAAGTACAGGAGAAATCAGAAGTGCTGACTAATAGCAGCCCATGAAAATGCAAATGTCTCCTCCCTGATAAAGTTGATGATAAGGAGGGAAGGAAATGGTGACCTAGATATCCGCTCTAATACGCCTGGATTCTCTGGAACCCCGTGGCTGAGCTCAGGTAAATTGAATCCCCCCTTGTAGAGATGTTTGTTTTTTGTTTTGTTTTTCATTCCTCCCCCACCCCCAACAAGACCTTAAAGCCAAGTCCCAAATCCTGCCTGCTTTGCCTGGCAATGACCAGGTACAATTTGGAATTTGGTCTCAAATATCAGTTTTGTTAAAAAAAATACACACAGCAACAAAACCAAAAATAACCCCAAAAAAACTAAGCACGTATAGAATTGTTTCCATTATTCTATTTAAAATTCCTGGGAAAATATTTTCCCTCAAATTTCACGTCAGTGTTTGCAAACTAAATATTGCAACTTTGTGCTATTGCATGAGACCCTGAAAGTAAAATTGACGAGACACTGGTCATAAAGAAAAGTGGAGTTGACCTGTCTTTTCTCATTACTCAGGGTGGAGTAAGCATTTGTTCTGATGTCCTTACCCAGCGTTTCCTCTTCCCATCTTGCTGTGAAGCAGGTGTCTGATTGGCTGCCACTCTCCCCCCAGAGATGGCTGCATCCCCCTGACACTTCCATTACTACACCTCCTGATCTCTTTTGTAATAAATGCAAATTGTTATACAGAAGGTTCACTTGTCAATGTTTTATACCTTTCCTTTTTTATAGCACTAGACTGTTCGCTCTCAGACTCAGCCAGCGAGGAATTGCCTTTGGCATTGTAGTCTTGCATTTGCTTCTGAAAGAGAATGAAAGAATACATTTAAGTAGAATGGGTAGGAATTTTTAGAGTGAGCTATTCAGAGGAGCTGCCTGAAAAGCCATTTACTCTCAAGCCCAGAAAATCTGTACTTGTGTGATCCTTTTGAAAATGTTGGCTCTATTACCCACAGAGCACTGACACCGGTCAGCACTTACATAGCTCTCTACGCCCTCCGACTGCGGGGCAAACAATAACCAATGAATCCACCTGTGAGGCAGGGAGAAACAGAGTCAGTCTCACTATTTGCTGGGTGGGGAAATTGAGACAGAAATGAGAGGTAAATTCCCAAAGGTTGGACTCGCATTGTGTGATTGCATGGGCTGTCTGGGGGCCATCTCTGCCTGCACATTTCCAACAGCCCAAGTCTGTGTCCTTGGCGCGGGGCTGGATTACTGCCGTCCTGTCTGAGCAGGGCATCGCTCTTCTTTCTCTCTTGGGCAGGGTGAGAATGGAGATGGTGCCAAGGAGCTGGAAAGCATTAAATCGGATCGCATGAAAGTGCTGCAGCTAAATGTGTGCAGTGACCAGGAAGTGGCTCAGGCTGTGGAGTTTGTGAAGAACAATCTGAAGGAGCCGGAGAAAGGTAGGTAGTGCGGATAACGTTACAGGCTGAGGGAGCCTGTGCTCTCAGGCCAGTTGCCTTTTTAATTCACTTACGTGAACCCTTGCTAAGGAGGAGTTACCCCCCTAGGGGCAGAGTTAAGGTTATCTGAGTGGCATAGTAATGGATCTGAGTGTTGTGTGGGAGGCATTTCCTGGCTTTGGTTTTTTGTCGTCATATTCTGGAAGGTGCAGAGGGGAGCTGGACTGTTGCATGACAGCAGCACAGATAAGTGCTGGCGAGCAGCAGCCACTTCTTACTACGAACGGCCTGGCTTCTGCTGGATTTGAAGACAGTTACTGCTCAGCAGCACTGCAGGTAACCAGGCTGGCCGTGGGGAATGGAGCTTGAAATAGGACCTCACTGTGCCTCTCCATCTCTCCCCTCTGTATCCGAGCCTGCTTCAGGGAGTTTGTGAGGGTTCGTGGCCACGGTGGGTCCCACTGTGCCTGCTTGACTGTATTCATAGAGCCTGCCTGGCCGCCCACACAGGAGTAAACCAGCCATCAGCCTCAGACTAGGACTGATGATAAACACATCACGTGTCAGGTATTGAGCATCTCCCCCACAGCTCTCTGTCCAGAGACATCCTCACAGGAGCACTTGTGGTTTTGCTCCATCCAAGAGGTGGAGTAGGGCCAGGAGTAGCTTTTTCCTTGCTCATGGCAGGTGTTAAGGTGCTGGGCAGATTAAAAGTGTGGCAGAAAGATAGTCCCAACCTTCATTCAAAGTACCCAACAAGGTCCTTAATCCCTACATGAATGATGCTATTAAATATAAGGAAGAAATAACCAGAAGTCAATTCCCACCTCCTCCCCCGAGTGTGCTCTCTCTGTGCACAATTCTGTCCTTCGTGCACAACCATTCCACACCCGCCCTGTCTCATCAGATTCCTCTCCACACCTTTTCAAACCGCCCCAAGCTTTTCACGCAGAGCACATTAGCAGCAGCGGCGGCGGCACAGAGCTGTGCTGTACAGAATGACAGCTTGCAAGCAAACAGCACTGTTGTTTCTCAAACAGTGGCAATGCGATAAAAGTCTGGTTCCTAGCAGGGATGGGCACAGGATCCCTTGTGTACTTCTCCGTCTGATAGGTGGGCAGTCCCTCCTTGGTGGAGATTTATGTAGTCACTCACTGCCATAGGCATGCTTATGGCAGCTCCCTTTCACTGCCTTCTTGCGGCAGAGCCATGGGGGCCTGCTGGGATCAAGACTTCAGGACACCACCATGTCTGGGAGATTGTGGTCCGAGGCCATTTTTGCTGGCTATAAGCATGGCCTCCGAAACCAGAGGGAGCACACTGCCCTTCTGAAAATTAACGGAGTTATGCCTGGGACAAGACTGAATTCTGCTTGTGAAAGAGATGGGCCTATGTATACAATGGTAAACACCACACTGTGACTCTTGGTGGCAAGTCCAACACAACGCGAGACAGCTGGGCGAAAGTAACGCGTGCCTATAGAAACAGTGGCTTGCTTCATGCTAAGTTCCAACCCAACCTTCTTGTCAAGACCAGGGGGCACAGAATCAGAGTGATGCTGTGTCCATCTAGAATCTAAATTTTTACTGAAAATACAGTTCAGAATTTTACTTCTGGGGGAATTCTGCACCACTGCACATGCACAGAATTTATGTCCCCTGCAGATTTCTTAGCTTCCCCGCAGAAAAATGGCTTTCTGAAGGGGAAGCAAAAGGAAGCCACAAGAGCGGTTGTGCGACCCTCCCCAGCAGTATGTTTTGGGTGCCCAGGGCAGCTGGCAGAGAAGTAAATCACTGTGGGGCAGGAGGCGGGACTGGGGAAGACCTGGCTGGTGGCTCCAACCTTGCGCTGGGCTCAACTGCTAGTCCCAGCTGGGCTGGGGAGGACAGGACTTCCTCTTCCCCTGTACGGCATCTGGGGCTGGGTCAGACCCACCCCCAGATTTCTTTCTCGGCTGCAGGAAGCTCTGCAAACTGCCCCCCACCCGCGCTTCCTGCACCCATTGCTCCTCAGCTGCAGGGGGAGGGATTCCTGTAGAGGGAGCTGCTCCCCCATCCACCCACCGCCCGTGCATCCAGACCCCCTCATACCCAGACCCTCCCACCAAGCCTCACCCTCCTGATAAGCCCCACTCCCCTTGCACCTGGACCACCCCAATGAGCCACGTGCTCCTGGATCCCTACCCCACCGAGCCCCAACCAGCTATACCTGGATCCCCACCCCACTGAGCCGCACTTCCCCAGCATCTGAACCCCCTACTGAGCCTCCCACCCAGACCGCCCTGCCGAGCTCTATCCCTCCCACACCCAGCCTCCCCCACCACTGAGCCCCAACCACCTTCACCTGGACCCCCCTGCAGAGTCCCATTACCATTACACCCAGAACCCCCCAACAAGCCCCTGTGCATCCAGATCCCCCCCTGTACCCGGATTCCCCACTGAGCTGCCTGCACCCAGATTGCCCCACACAGAACCCTCTCAACCCACACCTGGATCCCCCCACATTAAGCCCCTCCACACTTGGATCCTGCCTTGCTGAGCCTGCCTGCCCATGGTGAGGGGCAGGGCCTTGGGGTGTTTCTGGGGCAGGCTGGGTCCTTGCGCTTTGTCAGGGTTGGGTGCAGCCTCACTGCTGAATCCGTGTCCTAGGGGGGAGCTGCACAGTGAACTCCCACCTCTGTGCAGCCACTGGCCTGTGCTCTCCAGTGCCATGCTGGAGCCGCCATATTTATTTGACAAATAAAATTTGCAGAATTTTAAATTTTTTGGTGCAGAATGCCCTCAGGGGTAGAATTGGTTGCAAAACACACAAAAAGCACAGCATTCCAGATGGAGTGTCTGGGCTCTGAGACGCTAAACTTTGGGGTGGGAAGTGTCTCTCTTTCTCTTTGGTCTTGGGCCGCACCCACCCGTGTTGACACTAAACAAATAATCATGATAATGCTCTTTAAACATGTGGTTGTGCTGCATGCCTCATATGTGCCAGATGACTATCAGAGTTCTGTTACAGACTACTGTGATATGATTGACTAATGATGGAATCTCATAAAGGATTAACTGCTTTAATTAGCTTTTTAATAAGTGGTCCTAAATGTACTAAATGTATTATACAAGCTCTGGTTACAGAGAGACCTGTTCCAGGCCATGGCAGGGAGCCAGGTGCCAAAGCTCTGCTGTAAGCCCTATTCCCTCTCTGGCCTTGGGGAAGTCACTGACAAACGCATTCAATACAAGTCTCTGCCGAACTCTCTGACTTCAGTGAAATTACACCAGGGATTAATCAGGCACTCTGTGTCCTAGTACCGTAGTATTCTTATCATTATTTATTATCTGTGCGTGCTGTCGCCACACAGACCATCATCAGGATCGGTGCCTCAGTTTGCTGGGTGCTGGTCAAACATATAATTAAAGATAGTCTCTGCCCCAAGGAATGTACAGTCTACAATAAGGACAGCGCTTAACAGGTGGGTGTGTAACACAGGGAGAGTGTGTCTGGGGGATGGGAGCAGCGTTGCCTGTATTTAGCTATATGTATAATTTGCAATCTTCAATTTAAAATAATCATATTGTACACAGACACCAGAATAAATGAACACAAGGTTTCAGTGGCTCTTCCAACAGGCCGCCTGCCTACCTGTTACCCGTATCTAGCTAGCTGAGGCCATCACCGTAGAAACGGGACTTGAGAAGTGATTTGAAAGAGGGTGAATAAACTGAATTGGAGAGAGCATTCTAGGCATAAGGAGCAGCATGGGAGAAGGTGCTCAAAGAGGCAAGGGGCATTGGAGTCTGCTACGGTTGGCTGGGCAGAGGGGCCTGTTCATGATGTGGTAGGACAGGTGAGCAGATAAGTATAATGGGGACCCTGATTATGAATGGGCCATACCACAACAGAAATAATAAATAGATGTCTAAATAACTGGTCAGATTTTTGCAATGTCTGATCCTTGTTTTCCTACTGTTTGCTCTGTCATTATCATTGGTTATTGATTGCCTAGCACCATATGGATATAAACAGGACTTTCAAAGAAAGACAGAGTCCTTACTCCGAAGAACGTAAAATCTAAAGGCCTCTCTGCTGGAGGCGCCTGTCTTTAGTGCAAACTAACGAGGTTCTGCTGTAGTAAGGATTGAAAGTAGCCAAATTGTGGGCTGGTTACGAGTTGCTGCCCTCTGCAAACACAGGAGAAAGAACTTGAATGGTAGAACCCTGCAGAGGTGCCATGGTGAAGTCAGGACTTTCAAAAGTGGCCTCTGATGTTTCGGGTGCCCATCTTGAGCCCGTTTAGCACCCTCATTCCCCCAGAAGTCAGTGGGACCCATGGGTGCTGAGCCCCTCTGGAAATCAGGCCCCAGGTTAGGCTCCCCAAATCAAGTGTTATCCTTCATCTTCTTTGGCTTGAGGAGGACACTGTACCACTGCTGGAGAGGCAGCTGCTCCAGGGGAGTTTTCTTCTCTTGTTTGTGCTCTTCAGTCAAACACCAGCCAGAGTGGACCATGGTTAGTGGGACAGATACAGCCCCATCCTGCATGTCTGTCTGTCCCAGCCTCAGGAGAACCAACGACCTGACAGCAAGCAACAGTCCTCCTGTTTGAGGTTCAGGTGCTGGCCCCTCACTAACTTCTCTGGTGCTTTGAGCCAATGCCTTGATGCTCTTCTGTCTCACCTGTTTGGGAATGTAAAATGTTAACCAGTTAACTGATAAGCATTAGTCTTACTCGTTAACCCGCCGTAACTGTTAACCCCCGCGCAGTCTGGAGCAGCCCCAGCCATGCCGGCCAGCCGGCCCTTTAATTAGTTAACCATTTAAACAAAATATTTTTAATCATTTAAACGATTAACTTTTAAAACAATATTTACATCCCTACTTCTGTTACTCCCATGTTACCTTAGCCCACTGTGGTTCCTCTTTGTTGGTGTATTTCACTGTCCTAGATGAAAATGTCCTGTTTTTGCCAGTGGATTGTTTTACCCTGAGAGAAGATAAAATCCCAGAAGAGCTGTTTCTCCCTGAGAGACCCCCCACTTAAACCCTTTAACTCTCTTGTTTATTGGCAGGGCTCTGGGGCTTGGTGAATAACGCTGGAGTATCAGCCTTCGGAGAGGTGGAATTCACAAGCATAGACAAGTACAAGGAGGTGGCAGATGTCAACTTGTGGGGAACTGTCAGAGTGACCAAGGCTTTCCTGCCCCTTGTTCGCAGAGCTAAAGGTACAGATGGCCTCTGGCATGGCCGCAGTCAGAAGCTTTGCAAAGCAACAGGGAAAAGCCACTAAAAACATCTCACGTTCCGCCTTCAGTGACACCTATGCAAGCACAGCGAAGCCCCTCAGGCTATACAGGCATGAGGGAGGGCAGGATTTGGCCTGTAATATGAGCACTTTGCAGATCTATAGCAAGTCACCTTGTATCAGAGGGGTAGCCGTGTTAGTCTGAATCTGTAAAAAGCAACAGAGGGTGCTGTGGCACCTTTAAGACTAACAGAAGTATTGGGAGCATAAGCTTTCCTGGGTAAGAACCTCACTTCTTCAGATGCATCTGTGAGGTTCTTACCCACGAAAGCTTATGCTCCCAAGTCACCTTGTGTAACTCCTGTCGTTGAGGGGACCCGAGCTACAGCGAGGATGATAAATGAGGTTATAACAATATCTATGCACAGAGCCATTTTAGATGCTTCCCAAACAGCCAGCCCAGCTAAACACGCCAGTGAGGTCATAAATATGAGGAAATCTGAAGGCCGGCAGCAGTAGGCCGGTGCAAGCCCAGCCTCCTGCTCTGGGAAGGGAGACACAGACACACAAGAAGTGACACTGAGATGTTTTTTCCAGATATCATTTATATTGTGTGCTGCTAAATATATCCCAGCTGCCCTATAATAAGTAACTGCCCAGCCAAGATTATATGTTGTTATTCCTGTTCCGTTGTCATGGCGAGGGTGCATACAGGCAGGGTGTGAACAATAGTGTAGGAACCAAGTGTGCCACTCTGCTCCATGTGGCTCTAACATTTCAAGCCCCAAAGCTTGGCCCCATAAAACTCCTTATTACTGCACTAGCTGAGAGGATTTTCAGGGTCAGTTCAGCGAACGTAGCAGAACCTGCGGCTGCAGGCTCCCCAGTGCACTGCCCCCCGCCCCCCCAGGAGCTGGATGAAATGCTAGAGGAGGTTTACTGCTCCTGCTCCCAGCCCTGCTGGAGTACAAACCACTTTACGCTGGCAGAGCACTGTGGTGAGGACAGCATGAGCTGTCCCTGGGGGATCAGAACGTTTCCCCTTTATCACAGCTGCAGCAGGGCCACAATCACAGCTCCCTCCCCCCCTGTTTAACAGGAAAGCTCCATCCCTCTCCCATCACTCCCTACACGCTCACCCGCCAGTTCCGGACACAGACCGATATGTGAATGGACTGCAGAGAAACCTCCCCTGCACTGGCATAGGGGCGGGGGGCAGGGGGAGAAGGCCACCCAGAGAGTCCTGGGGCTCCCAGCTTTGGGCCCCAAATGCTCCTGAGCCAGCCCTGTCTGTATTACCCGGAAATGAGGATAATCTGCAGCTCTTTGGTGAGTTTATGGAACAGATGGCGTGGCCGTGGCCATTGGAAATCCCCATCCATGTGCCCACAACAAACATGGCTGCCTCAGCTTCTGTCCCCCGCTCCTCCTTGGCGAATACCCAGCTAGCACATACAACGTGAGTACCAGCGGAATTATTCCTGGTGTGGAGGTGGAGAGGGGCAAGGTCTTCCAGGCACAGGGAGGAGGGGACGTAGATTGAGAAGATGACCGGTAATGAGATTAACCATGTTTGTGTTGGGGACCCCTGACGACAGTGTGATTTCTGGACGTCAGTCAGCATCCAGGGCTGAGGGAGAGGATGCGTCAGTAGCATGAGGATCAAAGGAGGGTGCTTGCTGCCATGTCCTGGCTGAAGAGCCCCTTGTCCTCCAGCACAGAGTTTATGTTGTCTGGAGATTATTCCCTGAACAGGTTATCCTGTCACCAGTCTGTTCGGGCGTCCATCCTGCCCAGCCCAGAACAGAGGCTACCAATTTCCTTTTCCTGTCTCTGTCCACTCCAGGTCGTGTGGTGAACATCACCAGCATGTTAGGGCGGATGGCCAGCCCTTCCCGCTCCTCCTATTGCATTTCCAAGTTTGGCGTGGCAGCCTTCTCCGACTGCCTCCGGCAGGAAATGTACCGCTGGGGAGTCCGCGTTATCCTCATTGAGCCCAGCAACTTTGTAGCTGCTACTGGCATTCTGACGCCGGAGAGCATCGAAGCCCAAGCAGAGGAGCTGTGGAGAAGAGCCAACAAAACTGTCCAGGAAGACTATGGGAAACCCTATTTCACACGCCAGATAACCCTGATGAAGTCCTTCATTAACGGCGGCCTGAAGGACATGTCCCTCGTCCTGAACGACATCACGGATGCGCTCACTTCCAAGTACCCTTACACCCGGTACAATCCCATGGAGGCCCACTGGCGGGTGAGGCTGCACGTCGTCACTCACCTGCCCACTGCAGTTGCGGACTGGCTGTATATTTACTGAGCCACACTTTAAATAACTGGCCTGACAGCACCCACTCACTGTATGTATTCGGATCTTAAAACTGATCAGCGGTAGCTAGAGACGGGCGGGCTCTGGAACACCACGTCTCTCTGCACGAGGCAGTTTGGGCAGGATCGGGGCTTCGGCCCATGTCTGTGTTGTGGAACACTGAGAAAAGACTAGGTCTGGCCTCTTTCTAGTCCTCACTCCCGGCTGTTCCAAGGGCATGTTCCACTGGGCTGTGGAGGAGGCAGGGGAAGGGTTGTTATAATGGGACAAATCTGTTCCTGGTGTAATGAGGCCAGTGAGCTCCCCCCGGGATGGATCTTGCCAAGGGCACCGGTTGTGGTGATGCTAGTAGGTGTCTCAAATAAAAGAGCTCAAATGGGAAACAAAAGAAGCGTTTTCCATTAGATCAGAAATAGGTCAGTCACAGCTTCTCTGCTCCCCGTCCTCGTGATATTGCTGAGTCACACGGCTCCACAGCCGTCTCTAAGGAAAACAGCAGCATGACCTCTAAATGGCTTAATTATGCAGGCTCAGGCTAGGAAAAAACTAGATGGCTCCGCATGTGCAAAATCTCAGTAGAGAGAGGCCGTCCTCTCCAGGCACTGTAACCAGGGAGCAGACGGAGCCACTGCTAGAGCCAGGGCCCAGACATGGGCTGGGAGGGAGCATGTCTAAAGGGGGTTGGAACCGTCCCTGGCTCTCTCATTGGCTGCTGGAGCGACAGGCCCTAAGACCGGGGCTTAGCTAGCCCTAGAAATGCCCCTTCGTGGGCAGACTTTCACCTCTGGAAGACAAACAGGCACTTGGCTTCTGGTCCAGTTTTGGAATAAAACCACATTGGGGCTGCCCCAGCAGCTGCTCCTGTCGCTCCACCCCCAGAGACACCAGTTGTTCCTACTGAGAATCTCCTGCCCAGATCCACTGCCCTGGGGAAGGGCCAGGCAGATTGTCACATCCCGTCCAGAGTTCATGGAGCCTGCCATACCTTGGCTCACTGGAGCCCCTGGAGAAAGCCAGGCTGAGCCAGCCAGCAGCGTGGAGATTTATGGGTTAATAACCCCTGTCAGGGGCTTGAGCATCTCAGCTGTGTGCCTGGCTGAGCGAAGGCTCTCAGTGCAGCTGGGCCTCGTTAGTGCTCACTAGAGGGCTGGGCGAGGACCCTCAGAGGGAGAAGCAACCGTTTGCTGATCAGAAGTCAGGACAGGGTTCTCTGGAGCTGGGTGGTGGTTCCTGGGAGCTTGGCTGGCTGTTTGGTGTTGAGGTCGTTAACTCTGTGAAAGGCTGTAGCCAGGGACTGTGCCATTCAGGTCTGTTGATTAAACAAGAACCCCTGTAGGAAACAGCAGAGAGGGATTATTGTTGTTGCTTAATCCAGGGCGTCCTGTGAGCACTTCCTGGTCATGTAGCCTCCAGCTCTGCTGTTGTCCTGGACCCCCTCTGGGTTGAGAGGGAGGGGATGCCACGATCACTGGGTGCTCAGTGCCCTGGGGAGAGTGAGTTGGGGCAGGGGAGGTTCCATCCAGCTCCTAGTGGGTGGGTGTCCCCAGCACAAATAGCATCCTCATGGCTGGCACTAGCTGGCCCCTCTTTGACCCTGCCTAACCTGCCTTCTCAACAACCCCCAGACACTCACACTGAATAAGAACCATCCCCACAGGAGACTGAAATGCCTGGATAGTCTGAGTACAAAGCCCTGAGTGGATGCTGCCAGGGGCATCATTTCTTTCCTTTTATTAATATTTCACAATGAAATGGCAATATGACAATAAGTGTCTCCTCAGAAACCTTCCTAGTATCTCTGCAGCTAATGAGAATAGATGTGTCTGGTGGCTCGGGGATGGGGCCTGTTGTTCGTAGCATCGGGGTGCTTTGTCTGTGCTAGTGCTGGAGTTGCTCAGCACCTCACCCCTTCTCTAAGGAGTGACTGTTTGTAAGACCACGATCTGACTCCCAGCACTGCTGGTCAGGTTGGGGATCGATCGTCCAACTTCAGCACAGGTATACAGCACACACACACCCTGCTGCTGTTGTTTGTTCTGTTTCAAACTGATACGAGAGAAAAGTGAATTTCAAACCAGTTTGTCGCTTATCCCGACCCTGCCCTCCTATGTGAGTTACAGCATTTTATAGGACACAGACTGTACCTGTGGCTGGAGTCTGACTCCAGTTGTAAATGCTATTTGATGTCGCGAAACCTCTTGAGAGTAAGGGAGGCTTCACGTGGAGCTTGTGTGGAGAGGGCATGTGTTATAAATAAGGATTGGAAACGCTGGGCTGTAGGGCTATTTTCCATTGCAGATCACAAGTGTACAGAGAATGTCAGGGATGCAGGATGCCTGTTACTGGAAAAGATAAGATACCCTGGTGTTAAGCTACAGCACTGCACGGCTGCTGTCCTCTGTATCCTTTGTGTCACCTGCACTGTGAAATTCTGGGAACACTAAGTACCACTTGATTACACAGAAGGGAAAATAAAGGAGATTTATAGAGAACATGGATTTTCCAATACTCGTATTTTTTACATTTTCTCTTTTTTTTCTCTGTGGGCTCTGTCACAGATCAGGGCGTCTCTGGTCCAGCACAGCAGTCGCTCTCAAGCTCCCGGCTCCTCAGCCGTCACCTCTCTTAGGTGGAGACCTGTGTCTCTCTCCCTACTGAGCGGCACAGCTCCCTGCCTCCACTGTGACTTCCCCAGCCGTCAGACTGCCTGAGCCCACTGCTTTGCCTTCCCCTCAGAGGCTCTCAACAGCGTAATTATCCATAGGTGTAAGGTACTGCGCAGCCCTTTCTAAGCAAGGGCATGCTTGAGGTGAAAGCAGGACGAAGAAAACACTGAAAACAATAAAAGAACTACACGCATGCTGAAGAACTTACTAGTGATCACCCCAGCAGCGGCTCTGGTAGGAACCAGTCCTTTGAATCCCACACCGGGGTCTTCCTGTGGGGACAGGTTCAGAACAAGCTCCTCCATGAGTCCCTTCACCCCTGCTCAGAAAGGAGTGGGGCCCCTCCCTTGGCTAGAAGGGCCTGTCCAGGTGCTGGATCAGAAAGCAGGCCTTGAGTCACTTTAGATGCAGACTGTTAACCAACAAAGAAAGGACTTTTGGATAATCTAGAGAATCCAATTGGAACCCGTATCCGTGAGCCTTTTCAGGCAGTGGTGCCTGGCAGGAGTTGTTACAACGTGAGTGAATTTGCCCTCCACTGTTCTTAGTTCCTGGAGACCTGCAGACTCCCTCCCCTGTGGAATTACAGACAGCCCCTGGCCCACAATGACACACACATTTAACTTTATAAAGTTTGTCCAGGATATTGCCAGGTCTGTCACAGGCTTGATCCTGCAGTACTTACTTCCCTGAGTAGCCCCATTGGAGTAAAGGGACTCAGGTAAGTAAGGGCTCCAGGATTGAGCTCTGTGTGGCTTTTAAAATCGTAGGAGTTCATATTCTGTCATTGAAACGGACCTGCCCTCTATGGTGCCAATAGGGAGAGAAGGATGAAGAGGTATGTAGCCTGCACTGGTACCACCCCCCCATGCACTGAACAAATGCTGCTCTACGCTCAGCGCCATTGAGGCTCTTGACAGACCCCCTGACGCATGGCTGCGAACACCAGAGCAGGTCAGCGTCCATCAGTCGAGGGCCGCGGTTCACGGGCTCCCCAGCCAATTCAGCTCATGATTGTTTGGTTTAGTGGTGTTACGGTTGCCCCTGATGGCCACATTCAAGATCTGGGCCCTATTGCGGTGGGTGCTGTGCTGTGCTGTGCAGATGTAAGGTCCCCAGCCCCACAGAGCTTAGGGTCTGCAGAGGCAAGACAGACAAAATAAGGATTATTATCTCCATGTTATGGATAGAGGCAAAAGGAGTGGCTTTCTGAGTCTTTTATCCACATCCAGGCAGGGCTTGGGAATCATTTCTTGTTGGTGGAACGTGTTTAATTTTTGTGATAGCAAGCAAACGTTCTGCCCGGCTTCACTGTCTCTGCTCGGTCTCTGATGGTGGGGATGTGGCTGATCACTAAGCGGCAGCTCCATCAGTGTGCAAGGAAGCTCAGCGACTCAAACAGCAGCTTTATTTTATACTTTCCATGTAGGATTGCCAACTTTCTAATCACACAAAACCGAACACCCCTGCCCTGCCCCCTGCCCCTCCCCTTCTCCAAGGCCCCGCCCCCACTTGCTCCACCCCCCACCGTCACTCGCTCTTCCCCACACTCACTCATTTTCACTGGGCTGGGGCAGGGGGTTGGGGTGCGAGAGCGGGCATGGGCTCTGGGCTGGGGGTGCAGGCTTGGATGGGGCTGGGGATGAGGGATTTGGGGTGCGGGGGGGTGAGGGCTCCAGCTGGGGGTATGGGCTCTGGGGTGGGCCCGGGGATGAGGTGCAGGAGGTTGGGGTGTGGGGGCCCAGCGGCGCTTACCATAGTTCTGAGGAAGTGGCCACCAGGTCCCTGCGGCCTCTAGGCGCATAGGTGGCCAGGTGGCTCTGCGCGATGTGCACTGCCTTCGTGTCTGCAGGCACTGCCGCCCGCAACTCCCATTGGTTGCGGTTCCCAGCCAATGGGAGTTGCGGAGCCGGCACTGGGGGCAGAGGCAGTGCTCAGAGCCTCCCAGTCCCTGGCCACCCCAGCGCCTAGGGGCCACAGGAACCTGGCGGTTGCTTTCCGGGAGCAGCACAGAGCAAGAGCAGGTAGGGAGAACATTCACTGGTGCCGAAGACGACCAGGAGCACCCAAGACTCACTGCCAGACCGGAGCTGCCAGGGTACCTTTTCGACCGGGCATTCTGGTTGAAAACCGGATGCCTGGTAACCCTATTTCCATGGTGCAATTTTCTCAGAGCCACGCCGTTCAGGTTGACCAATGGTGCGTTTACAGCACTGCTCATTGGCTTAGCGTTCTGCAGACAATGACACGCACACAGAGCTGCCAGGCCAGATAGAATTATCCCCTTTTCACAGATGGAGAATTGAAACTCAAAGGGTACGTGACTTGCCCAAGGTGGCAGCGGGTGCTGGTGTCACTGCCGGGATTAGAACTCAGGAACTTCTGGGTCCCCAGCCTGTTCTTGGACTGCTGCTGCATGCCTCTTCTCTGTCCCTTTAAGAACTCTCAGATGAGCTGTCAATCACCAGTATCACTTCCTGTTGGGGTGAAAGCTCTGTGCAGACAAACTCCCACCACTGAAAGGTGCAAACCTGCAGTTCTGGAATAGCAAGTATCAGATAAATACTTCTTTATTAACAAAGGCGGGAGTTACGTGAACTGTGAGCAGGCAGGGGACAGCCAAGCTGGCCCAAGTGCTCCTTTCCAGCGCTGGGTTCATGATTCTGTTGGTTAGGGGTACCATATTTCAACAATCAAAAAAGAGGACGGGAGGAGCCCTGCCCTAGCCCCGCCCCCATCCTGCCCTAGCTCCGCCCCTGCCCCTTCCACTTCCTCCCCCCTCAGAACTCCCAACCCTCCCCACGCTCCTTGTCCCCTGACTGCCCCCTCCTGGGACCTCTGCCCCTAACTGCCCCCCAGGACTCCACCCCCTACCTAAGCCTCCCTGCTCCTTGTTCCCTGACTGCCCCCTCCTGAGACCCTCCCCCCATCCTAACTGGCCCCCTAGGACCCTACCCCCTACCTGTCCCCTGACTGCCCCAACCCTTATCCACACCCCCACCCCAGACAGACCCCCGGGACTCCCACGCCCCATCCAACCACTCCCCACCCCCTGACAGCCCCCCGCCCCAAACTCCCGACTCATCTAAACCCCTCTGCTCCCTGTCCCCTGACTGCTCCGATCCCTCTCCCCACCCCTGCCCCCTGACAGCCCACCCCAGAACTCCCAACCCCGCCCCGCTCCTTGTCCCCTGACCACCCCTCCTGGGACCCCTGCTCCTAACTGCCCTCCAGAACCCCACCCCCTACCTAAGCCTCCCTGTTCCTTGTCCCCTGACTGCCCCCTCCTGAGACCCCCCCACCCTAACTGCCTCCCCCTAGGACCCTACCCCCTACCTGTACCCTGACTGCCCAAAACCTTATCCACACCCCCACTCCCAGACAGCCCCCCCAGAACTCCTGACCCATCCAACCCTCCCCCTGCTCCCTGTCTCTTGACTGCTCCCTCCAGAACCCCCCTGCCCCTTCTCCGACCCCCTGGCCCCCTTACCGTGCCGCTCAGAACAGCGTGTCGGGCTCCACGCTGCCGCGCTCCCCCACGGAGCGCATAGCCCGGTTCCCGCCCTCACAGAGTGCTGCTGAGCGGCGCGCTGGGCAGCAGGGCAGGGGGAGGAGCTCCAGACTGCCGGGGGCCCGATGCGAACGTCCAGCGATCTGTGACTGCAGGGAGGGGGGGAGAGAGAGGAGGGGAGTGATCTGAAGCTGCAGGGGAGAGGAGGGGGGAAGTGGAGGAGGGGCTCTGGCTGCCGGAGCCCTGTGCGAGTGGCTCGATCCGGCTGGCTGCCCTGTCAGCCGTGCCGCGCTCTGCATGGGGGGGAAATCCGGACATTTACAAATTCCCCCCGGACGCTATTTTTAAGTCAGAAAAGCCGGACCTGTCCGGGAGAATCCGGACGAATGGTAACCCTGCTGTTGGTAGTCAGAGTATGCCATGAAGTTAAACTTTTGTTCTTGTTATGGGGCTCATTGCTGAACCTCCTCACGTCCGGTGGCAGTGACTGACAGTTCTTTCTGAACGTGGGAGTATGCAGTAGTTCTGTATGCAGACAATCATGGGTGTGATAAGGAAGTTAAAAGCTACAATTAAATGGAAGTGATTTAAATAAAATAATGGAGATATCCCATCTCCTAGAATTGAAAGGGACCTTGAAAGGTCATTGGGTCCAGCCCCCTGCCTTCACTAGCAGGACCAAGTATTGATTTTGCCCCAGATCCCTAAGTAGCCCTGTTGAGGATTGAACTCACAAACCTGGGTTTAGCAGGCCAGTGCTCAAACCACCAAGCTACCCCTCCCCTCCTTTTAGTTAAATTAAAAATGGATTAAGATGAGGGGAGAGGTCCTACACTGAGCCAGTTCCAGAGCTAGCCACATGCCATTGTGTTCACTTAACTTACATGTACAAATATCCCATTGTGTGCACCCAGTTTGCTCTTTTAGTGCACACATGAGCACTTGGACACATAACTGGTTCTGTGCACATGCAAACACCAGATCTGGGTCGGCTTACTGGGCACTTCCATGCATGACTAGGCATGTGCAAAGGTGTGCTCGCTGTTGGATGTGCTGCACTTTGAAAATCTGGCTCCATACCTTTACTTTTTAGAGTTCACCAGAAGGTGACTTGTTCTCCTTTGTCACCAACTGGAATCAGGCACCAAGCTGTGGAAGCCAAAAACTCCTTGTAGTTCGTATTGAATCTGCTCTTTATACTTCTTCTAGGTATCTGAGTAGCACAGGGGCTGGTATGTTTCTGATCTGAATCCCTAATGCTACTTCTTGGAATTAAAAGGAGTTTTGCAATTTACACTCACTTTGTAATGAAAAA